CATGATGTTAGGCATTTTTTTATGGTTAAAAACCATATCATTACGGCAACGTCAAATTGACCAACATAGAGCACTAGCTCCAAATAAAATCATTTTTTTGTGGGTCTAGGCACTCCCCTTAGTTAGTTACCAAAAATATCTTTTGCATTGTGGGGAGGGGGAATATTGAAGGCAAAGAATACACATCGCCAAGCAAAACGTGCAACATAACAGTCAAAGAAAAGATGTTGGATGGTCTCTTGTGTATTAAAAAACAACATTGCTTGTTTTCCCTCCATTTTCTCTTTACGAGGTTATCTTTCGTCAAGATTACTTTTTTGTGAAGAAACCATATAAATACTTTCATTTTTAGTGGTACCTTTACATCCCATAAGATCCTCTTGTGGATTCTTATATTGAAATTGATGATCCCATTATACATGGATTTGACCGAAAAATGGCTATTTTTATGTAGTGACCAAATAAAGCAATTCTTTTCATTTGACAGGGCTATGTGTTGCCAAATGCAAAGTGCTAGCCAACATCCATCGAGTTCCACATTGCAAAAAAGTGTTTACGAGAGGATCGAGGGATTACCGTCTGCTTTGCAGGATGAGATTAGCATGCAGCTGCCATGATCATGTATAACAGCCACCAATTAAGCAGAGGGCGTTCTTGGAATTGGAAATGATAGCAACCTACTCAACCGTTTTGGAAATAATTGACACCCACTCAGCTAGCCTACCCCATATATGCGACTGTATCTCGACAGGTTTGGTCTAAGCCAGTTTAGTTCCCAAAACAAAATTTCACGCTGTCACATTAAATATTTGGACACATGTATAGAGTATTAAATATATCTAATTACACAGATTGTGTGTAAATTGTTGTTGACACCAAATTTGGTAAAACATGAACCAGGTTCGGCATTGGGATCGAAGCGGATTCAGATTCGAAGAGCAACGTGCGCATTGGCTGCGAAGGCATCGGCTGGAGTCTGAATCAGCTGAAGGCGATCGGATGAAGGACAGCCGATACAACCGACGGGGTTGATACAGCCGATGCGCACGTTGTTGATGTTTTTCGCATCAACAATTGTGAGACGAATTTTTAAGCCTAATTACGCTATGATTTCACAATGTGGTGCTACAGTAAACATTTGCTAGTGACGGATTAATTAGGCTTAATAAATTCGTCTCGCAGTTTCCTGGCGGAATCTGTAACTTGTTTTATTATTAGACTATGTTTAATACTTCAAATATGTGTCCGTATATCCGATGTGACAAACAAACATAAAAATTTTCCCCAACTAAATAAGGCCTAATTTGAAGCATATATATATATGGTGCTCGCCATTTAACAGGTCTCAGGTCAAGCTGGTCAGCGCCACCACAGCATCGAGCAATACGGTTCCTTCGGTGAACAATTGAATTTTTTTTTAAAAAAATACATCTATAAAAACATTTTAGACATTAATATTACTTGTGCCAAAAATGTTTGTTGGTAAGCCGCGAATACTTCTATGAAAACATTGGTCTCAGGTCAAAATAAGCTTATTTTAGCCACGCTTACATGTATCCTTGTGCAACCCTTGTTTTCAAATTATATCTTCTACCTATCAATTTATACGTGGCAAAGTTTTTCCCTCTTTTAGAAAAAAAAAACTTCTACTCACAGATAAGGAAAAATCTCGTAAAGCTAAGCTACAGTGTGGGTCACTAGCTTGTGAAAGAAGATGCAACTATATATCTCATGGGTTGCAGTTGCACTACACCTTCATATGGTGGGGTGATATGTGTGTAGAAGCTGAGCTAGGATCGATGAGGCCACTTGTTGGTGGAGGTCATTTTCGCTAGCCAGTTTCGGCGTGCTATGCGGATCGATGATTGCGTCTCAATGCCAAGCCACTCTTCCCAATCTAGAAATGAATTAAATATGCTTAATTATAATTCATAAAAATGATATCTATTATCTTATTAAAGTAATAGAAAAAGAAGTTCTCACGTTCGCTCTCACGGCCTAAAAATTCTCATATTAATCGAAGAAAAAGAAAAATAAAATCCATATAGAAATACAATTTAGAAATAGCTGAAATTCAGAATTAAAAAATAAGGAATATTGGAATAGTAGATTAGAGTCCCGATAGAAATACAATTAAGAAATAATGGCCACAACGCTAGTTTTAATTAAGCACTATGGCCGTTGATGTGAAATTATAATTATGCATAACACATGGATGATTATGATGAAGTATAAGAGGGATTCAACAATCAATCTATTAATTCAAGTAGAAATACAATTTAGAAATAACCGAAATTCAGAATTAAAAATAAGCAATATTGGAATAAGAGTCCATATAAGAATCCAGAAAAAGAAAAATAGAGAGTTCAAATAGAAATACAATTTAGAACTAACTGAAATTCGAAATTAAAAATATATAATATTGCAAGAAAATTTCATATAGAATTGAATATGAGATTAATTAAAATTTAGAATAAAAAGTAAAATAAATTCCAATAATAGAAAAAAGTTCAAGTACGAATGAGATTTTTAATTCCCTATTGACATCCAACCATGCTTCGTTATCAATGAGAGCAGCCCAAAGTAGAGAATAACAGAGAATGAATGATTTATGGTGATCGAGTTCAATGTACACGACCTAGCTACTGCTCGTCCTCGTATTGTCGGCTTCTTCATGGATTGGATTAATTGGTGCGCTACTCTGAGAAGCCGGCCGGTCGCGTTCGTTGTCATGGACGATTCATATGTGGTGGAGTGGTGGCGGCGCTGTCCCACCAAACCAAATGTTTGAGATTCCAATCGCACCACACGACAAGGGACGACTGCTAGATGTAAAAATATAAATTCAATTCCTTCACCAATAATTCTATAAAATCAGCACCAAACCACTGCACAAGAATCATGCATGTTAATTAGAACATTTTAGCATTTTTGTATTATTTATTCATTTAGTTTAATCTTTACAATTTAAATTAGAAGAAGAGCCTTTTTGGAGGTTGAAGAGCTAGATTATTTTGAGGAACCTGAGCAGTACATTACCCAAGGCAAGAGTCCCACTAGCTACCTCTGGACATGTTGAATCCCAATTTTTATGATTTACATTACCATGAATTTTGTTTTTAAAACCATGCATGTCTTAGTTAAGCAAATATATTTAGTTTGGGAAATATGGTACATATAATCCTATTGTTACATGTTCATCCTTGAATTGTTGTTATTCTCACATTTGTAACCATCAGGTGGGAGATAGTACACCCAAATAAACATAAACAATTAAAGGGTATAAGTACGTATGCAAAATTGCTTAGTCTTGCATTAGAAGATGTTAAAAAATTTAAACACGACTTATATATATGTTTTGCATATGATCCCCCCATCCCGTCAAAATCGGCAGCCTTTCCCCGACGTCTCGTCCAGGGTCTGCCAGAGCAAGGGTGACGCGGACCAGTTCGGCGACCATCGCTTTCCTTCTGCGCGTTCGCCGAAAAAACAACCATCGCTTGCAAAAAATTGTGTCGCCCAAGCACCATTGGTAGTGGATGATAATATCGTGTGGGATGGGCACGTCCTCTTTATCGAGGAGATAAAACCTGTAGTATGGCTGTGTTTAGTTCAGCGCAAAGTTTAGATTTTGGTTATAATTAAAAATGATGTGACTAAAAAGTTATGTGTGTATGATGTGATAGAAAAGGACAGTTTGGATCTATTTTAATTTGCTATTGTGTGCAAGTCTTTAACTTCCTATTATTATGCGTGTCACTATATGTGATTATTTCTGATTTTAGGTCTACTAGAGTGGAGTATGTCTCTGGTCTTTACATTAAAAAATTATTTGAAGATTTACCCAAACTCCTGTTTATGTTGATCTGGTAGGTATCTATTATGTGTATATTGTGTGAGAATAACTTTACTACTCCCTCTGTTCCATAGTATAAGGAATTTTTGGATGGATGTTACACGAGGGGCCTAATGGGTGATCGATCGCCAGGGTGATCGCCCAGCGATCGAATCCGGCCCTCCCGCTCCCCCTATAGGCACTCCTCCCACTTCTTCCTTCCTCCTCTCCTTCTTCTCTTCTCTTTCTATTACAGTACACCACAAAAAATTTTTAAAAAAACAAAAAGTTAGAAAAATTTATGTATAAAAAATTTGAATCGGGTATGTAAACTTTTGACTTATAAACTTTGGATCTATAAACTTTAGGTGTATAAACTTTAGATGTATAGAAATACTATATATAGAACATATTTGAATTCAAATTCAAATTTGAATCGGATATAATTCAAATTCAAATTTGAATCGGGTATATAAACTTTAGGTCTATAAAGTTTTGGTGTATAAACTTTAGATGTATAGAAATACTATATATGAAAAATATTTGAATTCAAATTTAAATTTGAATCGGATATATAAACTTTAGGTCTATAAACTTTAGATGTATAGAAATACTATGTATAAAAATATTTGAATTCAAATTCAAATTTGAATCGGATATATAAACTTTTGACTTATAAACTTTTGGTCTCTAAACTTTAGATGTGTAAACTTTAGGTGTATAAACTTTAGGTGCATAAATTTACTAAAAGAGGAAAGTAATACGGTGCCAAAAAAGGAAACCAGGTGGAGGGAGAGAGAGGGAGGAGGGGAGGGGGGAATCGATCGCCCTAGGCGATCGCTCGCCCAGTAGCATTTCCGATGTTACACATCCTAGTACAATGAATCTGGACGACTATGATATGTCACATAGGCTGTGTTTAGATGAGGGGTGTAAAGTTTTGACGTGTCACATCGGATATACAGACACATATTTGAAGTATTAAACGTAGTCTAATAACACAACAAATTACAGAATCCATCTGTAAACCGCGAGACGAATTTATGAAGCCTAATTAATCCGTCATTAACAAATGTTTACTGTAGCACCACATTGTCAAATCATTGTGCAATTAGGCTTAAAAGATTCATCTCGCAATTTACACACAATCTGTGTAATTTGTTATTTTTTCGTCTATATTTAATACTCCATACATGTGTCCAAATATTCGATATTACAGGGTGTAAAACTTTGCCAGGGGATCTAAACAGGGCCATAGTACAATGAATCCTAGTACTAGGATGTGTTGCATCCACCCAAAAATCTCTTATATTATGGGACGGAGGGAGTAACTATGTAGACAACCGCACCTCCATCCATCCATCCATCCATCCATCCAAAGAAGATATAGGATCATTCTAACACATTATATCCCTCAAACCAAACCAAAACAGAGTTTACTTCATCCCTTCAACCAAATAGAAAATATAATCATCCCATCTCAAACTCTTGGTTGACCAACATGGTCTACAGCTCCTGCCTTTCTTTACCCTTCCGCTTTCCTTCAACCTAGTGATGAACGAGCCCTATAAAACCAGCCAGAACGAGGAATCTTCGAAAGTTATGCATCGGAAAAGAAGGGAGCACATACCGTTAGAACAAGGCTTCTCATCTATAGGGAGAGCTGCCCATTATTCTTCTACAAGAGGAATCCAAGAGAAACAATAGGAACAAAACATTCTTTCAATGGGAAATCATAATAAAGGAGCAGTCTAATAGTCAGTCAAAAAGCACTTTCAAAATAGAGATGAACCCAACACACCTTATCCTTAAAACCAAACGTATGCTAATAGCGCAGTAGGGACGGTGAAAAGGCTCCTACAAGCTGGTCCATATACATTTCAATTGCTGCTAATAACGTAAATGCCCCTCGCTACCCAAAGTGGGGGCAATAAATCATATGCCTCGTGTGCACCAACGCACTCCCAACCATCGCAAATATACTCTGCTTCTACTTTTCTTTAAAAAAAAAAACCTTTTGGGTATGACTTCCACCATAAATTTTTATTTATTAAAATAACTTTATAAAATTCGATAAGTTCTTTTAATGAAAATTTACACACAAGAGTTTTATGATTCTAAATTAAGTACTTTTTTATGGTCAATGTTTAGAAACTGAAAAAAAAAATTGAAACGACACATGCATACTTATGATTATAGCGAATAAGAGGATTGCTGAAGCTATTCAAAGTTTCAATGCAGGGTGCACTGAGGACGCGAAGAATTTGATCCCAGAAGAGAATCCTAGCAGCCATATATACTTCTGCACTCTATAAATGGCCTAACACACACAGAGACAGTAGTAGTTCAATAAGTTCACACACTTGACACTTGAGATAGCTAACGAGTGAGAGACTGAGACGTGGTCCTAGTGAACTATCGATAGTCGTCCGTCGATCATGGGTCTTGTTCTGACCTTGCTAGTGCTGCTGGTGATCATGTCGTCGTCTACGTCAACCACGGTGGCGGAGCATCACCGGATCAGGAGCAACGACACCGACCTCGCCGCGCTGCTTGCCTTCAAGGCTCGGGTCTCTGACCCTCTGGGCTTCCTGCGTGACGGCTGGAGGGAGGACAATGCATCCTGCTTCTGCCAGTGGATCGGCGTGTCGTGCAGCCGCCGCCGGCAGCGCGTCACCGCCCTGCAGCTGCCGGGCGTTCCCCTCCAAGGGACGCTCACCCCTCACCTCGGTAACCTCTCTTTCCTCATCGTCCTCAACCTCGCCAACACCAGCCTCACGGGGACACTCCCGGGTGATATAGGAAAGCTGCATCGCCTGGAGCTCCTTGATCTTGGCTACAATGCCCTGTCAGGTAACATTCCAGCCACCATAGGAAACCTCACCAAACTTGAGCTTCTTGATCTCCAGTTTAACCGGCTATCTGGTCCAATCCCAGCAGAGCTGCAGGGCCTGCGAAGCCTTGGCAGCATGAATCTCCGTAGGAACTATCTCAGTGGCTCAATTCCAGTTAGTGTATTCAACAACACGCCTTTGTTAGCCTATCTCAACATTGGCAACAACAGTCTGTCAGGGCTAATACCCACTGCGATTGGCTCCTTGTCCATGCTCCAGGTCCTTGTTCTTCAGTACAATCAATTGTCCGGCTCACTGCCCCCAACCATCTTCAACATGTCTAGACTTGAAAAGCTGCAGGCCAGTGACAACAATCTGTCTGGACCTATCCCATTCCCAACTGGAAACCAAAGCACGATTCAGTTGATCTCACTCGCTTTCAACAGTTTCACGGGCCGAATTCCACCAAGACTTGCGGCATGCCGGGAACTCCAGCTGCTTGCGATTTCAGGGAATCTCTTGACGGATCATGTGCCGGAATGGCTAGCAGGCTTGTCTCAGCTAAGTTCCATCTCTCTTGCTGCAAATGACCTTGTCGGTACGGTCCCAGCTGTGCTAAGCAATCTCACCAAGCTCACCGTGCTTGATCTGTCATATTCCAAGCTAAGTGGGATGATTCCATTGGAACTAGGAAAGTTGATACAGCTCAATATCTTGCACCTATCAGCTAATCAGCTAACTGGTCCTTTTCCTACTTCCCTTGGTAACTTGACAAAATTATCTTTGCTAGCATTAGATAGGAACCTGCTGACTGGACCACTACCTGTGACCCTTGGGAACCTCAGATCTCTGTACCACCTTCATATTGCAGAAAATCATCTGCAAGGGGAACTTGATTTCTTAGCCTATCTCTCCAATTGTAGGAAACTCCAATTCCTCGATATATCAATGAATTCTTTCTCAGGGAGCATTCCTTCGAGTCTACTTGCAAACCTCTCTATCAATTTACTAAAGTTTTTTGCAGAAGATAACAACTTGACCGGCAGTATTCCTGCTACCATATCAAATCTGACTAACCTGAATCAAATAAGCCTTGCTGACAACCAAATAAGCGGCACTATTTATTGGAGAACCTACAGGAATTGCACCTCTCTATGAACAGTTTGTTTGGACCAATTCCAGGACAAATTGGAACCCTAAAAGGCATGGTCACATTATCTCTTGGTGGCAACAAAATTTCTAGTTCCATCCCTAACGGTGTTGGCAACCTAAGCACGTTGCAGTACTTATCGCTGTCATATAACTGGCTATCATCATATATACCCGCAAGCTTAGTTAATCTTAGTAATCTTCTCCAACTAGATATATCTCATAATAACTTAACTGGTGCATTGCCTTCTGATCTCAGCCCCTTGAAAGCAATAGCCGGAATGGACATCTCTGCAAATAATTTGGTTGGTAGCCTCCCAACTTCATGGGGACAGCTCCAACTGTTAAGCTACCTGAATCTATCTCAAAACACATTCAATGATTTAATTCCAGACTCTTTCAAAGGTCTAGTTAATTTAGAAACATTGGACCTGTCTCATAACAATCTTTCAGGAGGCATACCAAAATACTTTGCCAACTTAACCTTTCTTACTTCTCTGAACCTCTCCTTTAACAATCTACAAGGTCAGATACCAAGTGGAGGTGTTTTTTCAAACATCACTCTGCAATCTTTAATGGGAAATGCTAGACTCTGTGGTGCTCAACATTTGGGATTTCCTGCCTGTCTGGAGAAGTCCCACTCGACTAGAAGAAAACACTTGCTGAAGATTGTGCTCCCTGCTGTCATTGCGGCGTTTGGTGCCATTGTTGTGTTACTATACCTAATGATTGGAAAGAAAATGAAGAATCCAGATATTACGGCTTCTTTTGACACGGCAGATGCGATTTGCCACAGGCTAGTGTCCTACCAAGAAATTGTTCGCGCTACCGAAAATTTCAACGAGGACAACCTACTTGGAGTTGGAAGTTTTGGCAAAGTTTTCAAGGGTCGGCTGGACGACGGTTTGGTGGTTGCAATCAAAATCCTCAACATGCAGGTTGAACGAGCTATTAGGAGTTTTGATGCAGAGTGCCATGTCTTGCGGATGGCCAGACATCGCAACCTGATAAAGATACTGAATACATGTTCCAACTTAGATTTCAGAGCACTGTTTCTTCAGTTCATGCCCAATGGAAACTTGGAGTCATACTTGCACTCTGAAAGCAGGCCTTGTGTGGGATCATTCCTCAAAAGGATGGAGATTATGCTAGATGTGTCAATGGCTATGGAATATCTGCATCATGAACACCATGAGGTCGTCCTGCATTGTGATTTGAAACCTAGCAATGTGCTATTTGATGAAGAGATGACTGCACACGTAGCAGACTTTGGCATAGCAAAGATGTTGTTAGAGGACGACAATTCAGCAGTTTCAGCAAGCATGCCAGGCACAATTGGGTACATGGCGCCAGGTACATACACTAGCCAATCTATAGCCACTTACATTTTTATCCCAAGAAACATGTGTTTTTTTTAACTTTTTAGCAAACCTTTTTCAGTTGACTTCCTAAATTTCTCTGTCAGAGTATGCACTCATGGGAAAGGCATCACGGAAGAGCGATGTGTTCAGCTTCGGAATAATGCTACTCGAGGTGTTCACTGGGAAGAGGCCTACAGATCCCATGTTCATTGGTGGATTGACCCTGAGGCTGTGGGTTTCTCAATCATTTCCTAAGAATCTTATTGATGTTGCCGATGAGCACCTACTGCAAGACGAAGAAACACGTCTTTGTTTTGATTACCAGAACACTTCATTGGGATCTTCTTCGACTAGCAGGAGTAACAGCTTCCTTACGTCGATATTTGAGCTAGGCCTGTTGTGTTCGAGTGAGTCACCTGAGCAGAGGATGGCTATGAACGATGTAGTTTCAAAGCTGAAAGGGATCAAGAAAGATTACTCTGCATCTATGCTGGAAATGCAGAGGCGTCGGCAATACTAGATCAACCATGTGTCGATGTAATTAACTCTGTAAATTTTTCTTTGCTTTTCTTTGTTCCTTAATGAAATTGGCCGTCCATCCTTTGGCCGGCCTGGCAAAAAAATACTAGATCAACCAGTCTATAATATATACGGCAGTGCATATGCGTTTTCCATAGTTGTTCATAGCAAGACTTTGACATCGTTTATTTTCTCAGTCATATTAGGCATTAATTCTATAACTAAGAAGGTAGCCCGCTCATTCACGCGGACGTGCACCGTAGACTGTGTGTGACTCACTTATAAGGGCATAATATAAAGGGAAAATGTTTGCTACACTTCTTGATATTCTTTTCTCATCTATATATGTACCATGTATACTGCATGCCCACCTCTCAAACACCAATCAAATAGTTATGAAAAATTCCAAAAAAATATTTTGAGAATCTTAGTCTAAAACAGATTAAAATTAATTAAATTGGATCTACTTGAGAATGACACAACTTATGTTGTTTCCATTTCTTTACATATGTAGATTTAAATTAGCGTTGTAAATTTGTCGAGCGATATTTGACACCCATGTTCTGAAATTATTTTTAATTCATAAGATTGATTACCATATGCAGCCCCATGTGTCATGTTGTATTTAGCACTATAGTGTAATTTTGTAAGACATCAATAGTTCATTTAACAAAAATAATACAACCAGATCACAAATTAATATATAATATTAAAATAATTTAAAAGATGAACATTTAAAGATGGTTGATTTGATATTTATATTTATATTATAGATCTAGTTTGAATGCATGCGTATATTTGTGAAGTAATATATTTTATCTTTATATTTTAGATAGTTCCATTTAAAGACAATTGATTTTTTTGTATGGTACTAAGTACTTATGTTTTATTTTGTCTTTACCTTTGTTGTACGTACGTGCATATGTTTTTTTTCTTCTGGTAAACAGTATGTACATATTCAATGGTATAAAATAATGGGTCCATTAATTTAAAAACCGACGGCACATGTAGATGAAATAATGGATCGTCAACTCAAGTGAAAATCAGTAGTAAATTAGTTCAACTGTATGCGCATGTTTGTGGGGTAATATATTTCATCTTTATATTGTAGATATTTTGCTTTTTTCGATAGTAATAAGTTGTGTCACACGTGGACAAATAAAAAAAACAGATGGCAAACGGATGACGTGAGGTGAAAGCTCGTTAGACACGGATAAAACAAATCGAGCGCGTGCTGCAAACCTGGGATGACGGACGATTCAAGCTGTGACATCGGCGTAGAGGGACAGACGGTTGGGGATGGGTAGCAGTCCCTGCTCTTCAGCGACCCGAAACATCGAACTCAAGATGTCCATGACAATGACGAAGAGAAGTGGTGACAAAGGGTCACCTTGCCGCACTCCGCGCGTGTTCCAGATTTTTCTCCCCGGCGTCCCATTGAGCAACACCTGTGTGCTCGAAGTTCTGAAAAGGATCGCAGTCCAGGCACGCCACCTATGCCCAAATCCCTTATGAAAAGGAGACAGAGTTAAACGCTTGAGCAATGTCCAGCTAATTCAGCAGAGTTGCCGGCGTCTTGCTCAAATGCAGTTTTATGGCCAACTGCTTGACCAACATGAAATTGTCATGGATGCATCTACTGCGGATGAAGGCACTTTGATTGTTGTCGACAAGATCATCAAGCTTGCTCGCCAGCCGCCTGGACAGCACGCGAAGAGCTTGGCAAAACTGTGCAAAAGGCTAATTGGCCGGTAATCCCGCAGGCCGCTCGCATTAACCTTCTTGGGGAGAAGAGTGATGAAGGCCGAGTTCACTTTATCAAAACTTGACCCATCCATCCCGTAAAGCTGGTCAAATGCCACCATGACATCTATTTGAATGATTTCCCAGCAAGATTCGTAGAACAGTCATGTGAAGCCATCCGGGCCCGGAGCTTCAGTACAACGAATCGGTATGATCGCGCTCTTTGAAAAGTTAGTCTTCAACCCAGTTGCTTCCCCAAACAAGTTCAAAATGGATTTGATCACATTAGCCTCGGTGAGCATTGGTCTGAAGAAGAACACCGCATCATCAGCACATAAGGAAGTGCAGCGGCATATCTACAACTTTAGTATGGGTGGTCCAATCTATTAACTTATTAAAGAAATAGAAAAATGAGCCTCCACATTCGCTCTCACGGCCTAGAAAATCTCATATTAATCGGAGAAAAAGAAAAACAGAGTCCATATAGAAATATAATTTAGAAATAGTTGAAATTCGGAATTAAAAAATAAGGAATATTGGAAGAGTAGACTAGAGTCCATATAGAAATACAATTTATAAATAACTGAAATTAGAAATTAAAAATAAGGAATATTAGAAGGAGAGTATAGAGTCCATATAGAAATACAATTAATAAATAATGAAAATTCGAAATTAAAAATAAGGAATATTAGAAGTAGGGTATAGAGTCCATATAGAAATACAATTAAGAAATAATAGAAATTCGGAATTAAAAATAAGAAATATTAGAAGTAGGGTATAGAGTCCATATAGAAATATAATTAAGAAAAAATAGAAGAAATTAGGAATTAAAAAAAAGGAATACTAGAAGTAGGGTATAGAGTCCATATAGAAATACAATTAAGAAATAATAGAGATTCGGAATTAAAAATAAGGAATATTAGAAGTAGAGTATAGAGTCCATATAGAATTTAAAAATAACTAAAATTTAGAATAAACATAATAAAATTAAAAGTAGAGTTTAGAATCCGTATAAAAATGCAATTTACAAATAACTAAAATTCGAAATTAAAAAAAACATGGGAAGAAGAGTCTAAAGTCAATATAGAAATACAATTTAGAAGTAACTAAAATTAAAAATTAAAAATTAAAGAATATTGAAAGATGAGTTTAGACTTTAGAGTCCACATAGAAATACAATTAGAAAAAAAAAATAAAAATTCAAAAATAAAAATAAATAATATTGGAAGAAGATCCTAGAGTCTATATAGAAATACAATATACAGATAACGAAAATTCAGAATTATAAAAAAGAAATATTAAAAGACGAGTCTAGAGTCCATATAGGAATATAATTTACAAATAACTAAAATTTGATATTAAAAATAATTAATAACTATAATTAATAATTAACACGTATATAAAATACAATATGAATATTACACATTAGTAGTTCCGTAAAGTTAGTACAAAATTTGAAATTATGTTTTCATTTTAATATATTTAAATAATACATTGAGAAAACATATATGTTATTATATGAGAGAATATAATGATGCTAGCCGCGCAATCTGCGCGGGCCATCATGCTTGTTTTATATAATTTTTTTAATATCATAAATGTATTATTGCAAATATGCAATACAAGTATAAAATTAACAAAAGTAAATTATTATATTAGTAATGCGAACTCTCGAATTGGAAGTTCAAATTCCAATATTTAAATCCCAAATGCGAATTCGAATCCTCCCCTTGAACCCCCCTGCAAACATCCCTTCAAGGCCAAAATACAAAATCCATCCCAAAAATGTCAATTTTCCCTTTTAATTCCCCTTCTTTGATGAATAAAATACTGAAATGATAAGTTTATATTGCTTTTGTACATGTCAAATAATCCTTCCTGATTCTCTTCAGCTTCACGACCACATCGTTTATTTCCATCCTTTCTGCTGGTGAGTTGCTGCAACACATCAAGCCAAGCTCGAATACTGCCACAAGAAGGTCCTCATTGGCCCAAGTTGCAGAACAAGGCAAGGAAGTATCGTTGTTCTGAAGAACACCTTGCTGTATCAATATTTCACCTTGTAGAAGCCTATCATCCAGAACATCTAGAAGCCTTGCCGGAAATGCATCAGAAACCCACTTCCTAAGGCTCATGTCACCAACAAACATGGGATCGGTAGGCCTCTTCCTAGTTAAGACTTCGAGCAGCATGATCCCATAACTGAATATATCGCTCTTCCGTGATGCTTTTCCCATGGATGCATACTCTGTTCAGCAAATGGGTTTTTAACAAAAAAAAAATCATTTTGGTCAATTATATATATAAACAAAATGTTGTTGGCAAAATGGTTTTATCATGAATAGTTAATGCAAGTACCTGGAGCCATGTATCCTAGTGTCCCTTGCATGCTGGCTGAAACTGCAGAGTTGTCATCGCCTAAAAGTAATTTTGCAATGCCAAAGTCTGCCAAATGCGCCGTCATCTCCTCATCGAACAACACATTGCTAGGCTTGAGGTCACAGTGCAAAACAACCTCAGAATGATGATAGTGAAGGTGCTCCATTGCCATTGACACGTCAAGCATAATATCCAGTCTCTTGAGGAATCCTAGTGGAGGGTGGCCTTCCTTGTGCAAGTACGTCTCCAAGCTGCCATTGGGCATATACTGAAGCAGCAGTGCTTTGAAATCTAAGTTGGAGCATATGCTTAGTATCCTTATCAAGTTGCGATGCCGAACCATGCGTAGAACCTCACACTCGACATCAAAGCTTCTCATAGCTTGTTCCACTTGCATATTGAGAACCTTAATTGCAACAACCATTCCGTCACGCAGTCGACCCTTGAAAACCTTGCCAAAACTTCCAGCTCCCAGTTTGTTGTCATCGTTGAAATTTTCAGTGGCACGAACAATCTCATGGTACGATACTAACCTATAGTGAGTAGCTCCAGCAATATCTGGCTTTCTTTCAATTTTCTTTCTGGTCATTCGGCATAAGCAAATAGCAACTGCAGCAACAGCTACAATGATGGCAGGGAGTACAAACTTCAGGAAGTGGTGAGCACTAGTTGAGTACAGTGACTTGTCCGGACATGGCAAAAGTCCTAGACGAGGAGAACCACACAGCCCAGCATTGCCCCTCAAAGATTTCAAAGTAATATTTGAGAAAACACCCCTAGTTGGTATTTCGCCTTCTAGCTTATTAAAAGAGAGGTTCAGAGTAGTGAGGTAGGTAAAGTTTGCTAAGTACTTAGGTATAGTACCTGAAAGGTTGTTGTAAGAAAGGTCCAATGTTGCTAAGTTGGTCAAATGGCTAAAAGAGTCCGGGATTGAATCTCTGAAAGAGTTGTGAGATAGGTTTAGGTAGGTTAACATAGGATGGTATGCATATGAATTTGGGAGCTGACCATCTAACATATTGTCAGACACATCTATGTGATCTATATTCTGAAAGTGGCTGAGATCAGATGGTAATGCACCAGTGAGGGCATTATTGAACAGAAGTAGTAGGATAAGGTTATTAAGATGAAAGATGCTTGTTGGGACAATTGATGAGAGCTTGTTATTAGATAGGTGAATGTGCTCTAGCATGGTGAGATTGCCAATGCCATCTGGTATTGAACCTGAGAGTTTATTATCGCTGAGGAACAAGCATACAAGTCTTGTCAGCATACTAATTTCTTTGGGGATTGGACCAGCTATACTATTCTTGGAGAGATCAAATCCCAGCAGATTCTCCAACGTCATGAGGGAAGCTGGCAGTATTGGTTTGCTGAGTTGGTTGTCTGCAAAATTGATCCAACGCAGATTAGTTAGGTTCGATAGGATAGCAGGAAGTCCACCGATTAAGCGGTTGTTATTAGCTCGGAATTCTAAGATACCAGTGGAGAGGTTTCCAACAGAGTTGGGGATACAGCCAGTAAAAAGGTTTTCTGATATGATGAGGACCTCAAGTCGCTGACTGTTAGAAAGGCTAGACAGAAAGCTGAGATCCCCGTGGAGGTGATTACCTCGAATTTCAAAATGCTTCAGAGGCCTGATATTGTTTCCAATCGTTGATGGTACATGCCCAGTCAGCTGGTTATATGCCAACTCCAGGTGAGATAATTCAGATAAGTTTCCAATAAAAGCAGGAAAGGTACCATTGAGCTGATTATTTGAAAGACTCATAAATGTGAGCTGTGACAGCGTTCCTAGCTCCACTGGAATCGGCCCGCTTAGGTTGGAGAATGAGAGATCAAGCATATTTAGCATCGACAGATTTCCAAGCTGTCCCGGGATCGGACCGACGAGCTCATTGCCGCCTAATGAGAGTGATTTTAACTGTGACAAGGTTGCGAGCCACGCAGGCACAACGTCTTCAAAGAGGTTCCCTCCTAGAGAAATCATCTCAAGGTGCTTGCATGAAGCAAGCCCAGATGGGATTGGGCCTGTAAATTTGTTCATGTATAGGTCTATCTTTCGCAACATCGGGAGATTAAAGCTCTCGTTAGTAGGTATAGCCCCTGTTAGATTGTTCTTCCTGATGCTTATGGTTTCAAGCCTAGACATGTTGAAAATGGCAGGAGGCACTGGACCAGAGAGCTGATTGCTTGGTAACGAAAGAACTCGGAGCATGGACAAGGAGGCAACGCTGTCTGGTATGGGTCCCGACAAACTATTGTCTCCGAGGTATATGTGGGTTAACGAATGTTTGGCATCGAATAGATGCTTTGGTATTGGACCAGTCAAGTAATTTTGATCAAGAGCCATGACCCTAAGGCTGTACAGATTTTGCAGCTCCATTGGTACGTGCCCTGAGATGTGGTTGTCATAGAGATTTAGAGTCTCAAGCTTTGTAAGGTTGCCGAGTGCAGAGGGAATAGCATCTGATAAGGTGTTATGGGCAAGATCAAGAATCTTGACACGACGCAGCCTCCCAAGATTAGCGGGGATGGGGCCAGTGAGGTTTGCGGCGGCGAGGTCGAGGACACGGAGGAAAGAGAGGTTACCGAGGTGAGGGGTGAGCTCTCCTTGGAGGGGAACGCTCCGGAGGCGCAATCCGACGACCACCCGCGGCCGCCGCCGGCTGCACGACACGCCGACCCAGCGGCACAAGGACGCGTTCCTCGTCCAGCTTGTGGCAAGGACGCCGAGCGGATCGGAGAGCTGCGCCTTGAAAGCCAGCAGCGCCGACAGGTCGTCCCCGCCGGTGCCATTGCCGCCGCCGCCCAAGACGAATCCATCTAGTACCATAAGTGGCAGTAGTAGTACAAGTATGACAAGGTGAATGCAGTTTTGTGGAAGCAGCAAGGCCATTCTGTACAGCAGCTAGCCTACGTACGTAGTGTTTGTGATCGAAGGACAATGCTGTTCTCTTCCCTGCATAACCTGCAGCTAGGGCTGTCAACGAGCCGAGCTCGAGCGAGCTCGCCTGCATAGGCTCGAGCTCGATATAAGCTCGAGCCGAGCTCGAGCCGAGCCTATAAAATATTCGAGCTTTCAAACAGGCTCGGTTCGAGCTCGATCAAGCTCGAGCTCGACTACCGTACTCCCGGTACGTTCCCGGTCTACGGTTTAGGAAATTCTTTTAGTTCGCAAGCACCGACCCAGGTGTCGGGTTTTCCAAGTCTTTTGTAAAAACCCCAAGTTTTACCCATCGTTGGATATTTTAAATTTGAGGGGAGGTGTTCCAATGCGCGTACCCAAAGGCCCGTACATCGAAGCATAACAGTTGACAAAGGAGGTTTAAGTGTTCAATAATTCACGGAGGGTAATTACAGCAATTAGGATTGGGGCCGGCAGGCTATCTTGCAAGCCGCGGCCGATTTTTACTTGTGTTAATTCTATTCATGCAATGTTTGCGAAAAAGAAATACTTAGATTTAAATTATAGGTGCAAGATGATCAAAGGTGACTTGCCTTGCTCGAGATCTTGAGCTTGATCCTTGAAATCCTCGCACTGCGGATCTTTGGGCTCCGAAGCTACACGCGGAAAGGGACGACTCAACAAACGGCGAAAACAAAGCCCTATTATTGACCTCTAAGCGTGCCATTAGATAGATCTTGAGATTTGAGGAATTTTGGAAGTTGAACGGAGTCAAACGGACACACGGTTGAGAATATATTGAATTTCTAAGATTATTGGGTTTTTGGTCTTAAAGGAAAAAGGATTTAATTAAACCCTTTTGAAAAAGAAAAGAAAGAGGGAGAGGTAACAGACTTCCCTCGGGCGGCTAGGGCGCGGCCCGAGAGCGCGGGGGAGAGAGGGAGGGGGAGCCCGTGGGCTGGGTCCACCTCACGTGGTCCCGAGTGGGACCCGCTTGTCGGCGGCTCGGCTCGCCGTGAGCGAGGAGCATGCGACGCGACGCTAGGGTTAGGAGTGGGGCGCGGAGCATGAGCGCGGCTCGCAGTGGACGCGGCGCGCGGCGGGCCCACGCGCAGCCTCTCGGCTCTCCGTGGGCCGCGCGCACGCGAGTGGGGATGGAGGGAACGGCTGACCGGGGTCGGCTTGACCCGGTCCGGCCGAGCTGGCGCCAACGTGGTGCCTATGTGGCTGCCACGCGGGCCGGCTGGAGGAGGAAGAAGGCACCGGCCGCGAATAGACGGCGGGCGGCGGCGGTTTCTCCGGGACGCTGTGCGACGACGAGGGGCGACGGGGTGTACACCGGAATGACAAGGGGGAATGAGAGGGAGCGAGCCAACGTCTTGGATTCGCCGGAGGGGGCTCGACGGCGGCGGATTGCGGCGGCGGATTGCGGCGGCGGCAACCTGCGGCGAGAGAAGAGGGAAACGGCGATGACGCGACGGAAGATCGATTCGGGCGAGCTAAAGCATCGACGCGACTCCGGGAATCCATTCCTTGCGTCGGATTAGGAGGAAACACACCGAGGGAGGCCGGCGACGAGAGGCGGCTACCGAACTCGGGCGGCGACGGCGGCGAGCACACAGCGAGCATCAGCAGCGGTCGAGGCGGTGCCAGCTAGCTACTAGAGGTCTACACAAGCTACTGCCGAAAGCTAGGGGGAGGAGGAGGAACGAGGAGGGGGAACGGGGAGTGCACTACCATGCGGGGTGAAGGGGCGTAGTGACGAGAGCTGACGGCGCGAAACATGATCGTTTCGGCCTCGGGCGGAGGAAGAGGAAGGAGAGGGTGCGCCCGGAGTCCACGTCTCGCATCCTCGCTCGTGCCGGCTCCTCCGACACGCGCGACGATGAGCGGCGATGGCGAACAGGGCAAGGTGAGGCGGCAAAGGCGAGAGGCGAACATTGGGAGAGATTGGGTTGGGGAGGGGCTCAGGTTTATAGGGCGGCTATGTCGGTTTGGGAACCGACCTCGGAGCGGTACTGGGGCAAGGGAGCTTCGTGAGGGAGGGATAGGTTCACGGGCGCGGGGTTCAAACGGCATGGGCGATGGCTCGGCGTCAGGTGCTCCTCCCTATCCATGGCGCTGGAACCGAGCGGGAGAAACAGAGGCCGGGCCGAGAGAGGAAAGGGGAAAACGGAGGGGAAGAAAGGGAGCTCGAGCCATGCCGATTTGGGGAGGGAGAGGGATGGGAGCGGGTGGCGCTGCCTCCGGGTTTTGGACGGTTGCGGGTGGCGTGGCTCGGGCACGCGCGCTGGCTCGCGGGGCCGAGCGGCAGCGCGGCCACAACGTGGCAGGGCAGTGGGACGCAGGAGCGGCACGGGCGGCGACCGCGCGGGGCCATGGCGCGCGGGGCCAAAATCCGCGGGCGGGGGCTCGCCGGGGAGAGAAGCGGGGAGAGGGAAAGCGAGAGAACGAGGGAGAGAGAGAGGGCTCGGTTCGGCGTCGGCTCACGCGCACGCACGCGCGCGTGCGGCGCACGAGCAGAGCGAGGGGGGGAGAGCTGAGAGAGGGAGAGATGGGCCAAGAGGGAAATCGGCCCACCGAACCTGAGGGCGGCAAACTAGACTTTTCAGAGGGGATTGAATTTGGGAGAGATTTGGATTCGGAATTTGAATTTGATGAGGGATCGGGGATTCGAGATCAGGAATTAGCACGGAGACTGACAACATACAAAGAAACAGATTTTGCAATTAGGGTTTTGAAGTTTTAATTTTCCCGCTAGCGCCTCGATGGAATGGGCGCTACAGTCCAGCCTCGATGTGGTCAGGGGACGCAGATTTGACTTCCCCCGTGTACCGGGTGGCGCCGCAGCCTTCTTCCCCCGACCACACGAGATCATCAACAACAAAACAACAGAAATATACAATATTTTTTAATGCAATAGGGATGCATAGTTCTTTGGATATCCAAACTGCATGTCTGGGCTCTAACGCATTGCCAAGAAGATGGTAACATTATTTTTGCAGACAATCGGTTTGAGATTTAGCGCTGGTTCAGTTTGTTGCCAAAACTAGCATTACCAAAATTTGGTATTGTCCAATTCTGGCACAATTTAGAGTTACCAAATTTTATTAACGTTGGATATGTTCAATTTGTAGCCATGTTAAAATTTAGTAGCTAGTGCTTGTATGAGAAGGAACTTCCGGAAATACCAAATTGTGGTGAAGTGACAACGGCAAAATTTGTTTAGTTTGTTATCTTACTAAAATTTGATAACATAAAAAATTAATAAAGTTAAAATTGACGGCGAAGTGAATAAGCCCTTATTTAGCTTTCCATTCCGCTAGGCATGCGTGCTGCGTAATCATTTGACGCTTCAACATCCAAGACCTTGACTCTCAGTCAACCTAGAAGGAAAAACCAGTGGCAGTACGATCCTTATCTTCCCATCCAAAAGTGGGTTTGAGCGACAATTATTAGGCGGCTTTCCACTCTACTTAGGCATTGTGTAGTTCTAAATTTTTTTTTCTAAAAATATCACATCGAATTTATTAGCCGCCTGCCACAGTCGCTCCTGGTGTCGCCTGTCCGCCGACGCTCGTTCGGTGAGGGAGAGAGAGAGGAGAGAAGAAAGAGGGAGAGGAGAGTAGGAGACAGAAAGAGAAAGAGGGAGAGTTAAAATAATTATGAGAGGAGGAGAGAGAGGGGAAAAAATTGAAGCAGTGGGAGGGAAAAGAGAGTGGAGGGAAAAAATGAATGGAGGGAAATTATGAGAGGAGAGAGGGCAAAAATAAATTTTGAATTGAATTTTATGATACTAAATGAACTCATATGAAAAAGTTGTCAAAAAAAGTTTATATATCTCATCAAGATTTATAACTTTTATTTTGGTCATTTTTCTATATAACATTTTTTGAACAGTTTGAATTTGAATTTAAAAATATGACAACTTCAAACAATATTTTCAAATATTAAATGATTTCAACTTAAAAAATTCATCAACAACAAAGTTGTATACCTCATCAAGATCTATTACTTTTATTTTGGTTATTTTTCTATATAACAATTTTTTGAACAATTTGAATTTGAATATGAAAATATGACAACTTCAAACAATATTTTCAAATAATAAATGATTTTAACTGAAAAAGTCATCAACAACAAAGTTGTATAATTCATCAAGATCTATAACTTTTATTTTGGTCATTTCTTCATCCGACAAAGTGATAGTAACATTGTTCACAAAATTCACATATCTCTCATTTGGTTTTATAAACTATAACATAGATATGTAAATTTTGTGAACAATATTACTAACATTTTATCGGATGAAGAAATGATAAAAATAAAAGTTATAGATCTTGATGAGTTATACAACTTTGTTGTTGATGACTTTTTTAGTTGAAATTATTTAGTATTTGAAAATATTGTTTGAAGTTATCGTATTTTCAAATTCAAATTCAAATTCAAACTATTCAAAAAAATTTATATAAGAAATGACCAAAATAAAAGTTATATATCTTGATGAGTTATATAACTTTGTCGTTGATGACTTTTTTAGTTGAAATTATTTAGTATTTGAAAATGTTGTTTTGAAGTTGTCATATTTTCAAATTCAAATTCAAACTGTTCAAAAAAAGTTGTATAGAAAAATGACCAAAATAAAAGTTGTAAATCTTGATAAGTTATACAACTTTGTTGTTGATAATTTTTTCATTTTAAATAATTTATTACACGAAAAATTATTTTGACTAATAAAACGAATTATTATACTGCAGTTAATTATTTTGCTACAGGTCAACTCACAAATATAAACATTTCATATGAAAAATGGAAAAAATGTCATCAATAACGGCCATTAGTTAAAGTCCGACAGAGGTTAAGTCATCTCAATCGGGCATTAATATAGAGCCCGTCACGGATGAGTCATATGCGACGGGCCTAGTTGTTATATCACACGGATGTGTCATATGCGACGGGCCTAGTTGTTATTTTAATCGGGCCCCAAGTTGGTGCCCGTCACAGATGATGGTCATCTGTGACGGACGCCAACTTGAAGCCCGATTGTGATATGGAATGTTATCTCAATCGAGCCTAAATTATGGCCCGTCACGGATATGTGTCATCCGTGACGGGTCTGAGTTTTATATCCATCTAATATGTCTGTTCGACCATATCTCAATAGGGCTTTTTTTGGCCCGATTGAGATGACTTTCTTGTGACGACCCGTTAATTATAGGCATATTAGAGGCCGTCACATATGGAAGATTCTGTACTCATGGTGGTTTTTCTTTTTTTTTCCACTCACCCTCAAATAAATAATCTTTACTGCGTGAAACACTACGCACGATATGTAATATTTATATGCAAATTGAACGTTGAAAAGTGGTCAATTCATAACCCTTCGTCACGCCGCAGAAGGAAAATTAATAGCATACAGGCATGCATTTACGTACTTGAAATAATTTTATGTCGATTGGGTGGTGAGTGGCAATGCCTGTCTACCCCTACCGTTACGCACATACCTCATGTTCATTAATTTATGCCGTTTCCATTTAACATATCTCTACTTCCTAAGGAAACTGACTGACTGACAAATAGGACATGCGATTTTTTTTTAATCTTCAGCATATGACTTTGACAATAAATCAATAAAATTTAATAAGTTCTTTCTATGGAAAATCTCGACATAACAGTTTTATGATTTTATATTAAGCGTTTTATTTTTTTTTACGATCAATAATTTAAAGTTTTGACTAAAAAAAGTTCAAAGTTGATCACAAGAGAATCTTATTACCAGTCGTACTCGTGTTCTCTCTCTCTCTATATATATATGGCCAAACAACGAAAACACAGACAGAGACACGAGCAAGCTAACGAGTGAGTGCAAATTAAGCTAGTGATCGATAGTGGTCATGGGTGTTGGTCCTCATTGTACTACTAGTCTGCTAATAATACTGGCCGTCGTCATCACGTCGTCTTTGCTCACGACGACGATCAAGGCAGATGAGCCGAGCAATGATACCGACATCGCCGCGCTGCTTGCCTTCAAGGCACAGTTCTCTGACCCTCTGGGTTTCCTCCGTGACGGCTGGAGGGAGGACAATGCATCCTGCTTCTGCCAGTGGATCGGCGTGTCGTGCAGCCGCCGCCGGCAGCGCGTCACCGCCCTGGAGCTGCCGGGCATTCCCCTGCAAGGGTCGATCACCCCTCACCTCGGTAACCTCTCTTTCCTCTACGTCCTCAACCTCGCCAACACCAGCCTCACGGGGACACTCCCGGGTGTTATAGGAAGGCTGCATCGCCTGGAGCTCCTTGATCTTGGCTACAATGCCCTGTCAGGTAACATCCCAGCCACCATAGGAAACCTCACCAAACTTGAGCTTCTTAATCTCGAGTTTAACCAGCTATCTGGTCCAATCCCAGCAGAGCTGCAGGGCCTGCGAAGCCTTGGCAGTATGAATCTCCGTAGGAACTATCTCAGTGGCTTGATTCCCAACAGTCTATTCAACAACACCCCATTGTTAGGTTATCTCAGCATTGGCAACAACAGCTTGTCAGGGCCAATACCGCACGTGATATTCTCGTTGCACGTGCTGCAGGTCCTTGTTCTAGAGCACAATCAATTGTCCGGCTCACTGCCCCCAGCCATCTTCAACATGTCCAGACTTGAAAAGCTGTATGCCACTCGAAACAATCTCACTGGACCTATCCCATACCCAGCTGAAAACCAGACCTTGATGAACATCCCCATGATTCGGGTGATGTGTCTCTCTTTCAACGGATTCATAGGCCGAATTCCACCTGGGCTTGCGGCATGCCGGAAACTCCAGATGCTTGAGTTAGGTGGGAATCTCTTGACGGATCATGTGCCGGAATGGTTAGCGGGCTTGTCCCTGCTAAGCACCTTGGTTATAGGTCAGAATGAGCTTGTCGGTTCGATCCCAGTTGTGCTAAGCAATCTCACCAAGCTCACCGTGCTTGATCTGTCATCTTGCAAGCTAAGTGGAATCATTCCATTGGAACTAGGAAAGATGACACAACTCAACATCTTGCACCTCTCATTTAATCGCCTAACTGGTCCTTTTCCTACCTCCCTTGGTAACTTGACAAAATTATCTTTTCTAGGATTAGAATCTAACCTGCTGACCGGACAAGTACCTGAGACCCTTGGGAACCTCAGGTCTCTATACTCCCTTGGTATTGGAAAGAATCATCTACAAGGGAAACTTCACTTCTTTGCCCTTCTCTCCAATTGTAGGGAACTCCAATTCCTCGACATAGGAATGAATTCTTTCTCAGGGAGCATTTCTGCGAGTTTACTAGCAAACCTCTCTAACAACTTACAATATTTTTATGCAAATGATAACAACTTAACTGGCAGTATTCCTGCTACCATATCAAATCTGTCTAACCTGAATGTAATAGGCCTTTTTGACAACCAAATAAGCGGCACAATTCCAGATTCTATAATGCTAATGGATAATCTACAGGCATTGGACCTCTCTATAAACAATTTGTTTGGACCAATCCCAGGACAAATTGGTACCCCAAAAGGAATGGTCGCATTATCTCTCAGTGGCAACAATCTTTCTAGTTACATCCCTAACGGTGTTGGCAATCTAAGCACGTTGCAGTACTGATTTCTGTCATATAATAGGTTGTCATCAGTTATACCCGCAAGCTTAGTTAATCTTAGTAATCTTCTCCAACTAGATATTTCTAATAATAACTTAACTGGTTCATTGCCTTCTGATCTCAGTTCCTTCAAAGTAATAGGCCTAATGGACATCTCAGCAAATAATTTGGTCGGTAGCCTCCCAACTTCGTTGGGATAGCTCCAACTGTCAAGCTACCTGAATTTATCTCAAAACACATTCAATGATTCAATTCCAGACTCTTTCAAAGGTCTAATTAATTTAGAAACATTGGATCTGTCTCATAACAATCTTTCAGGAGGCATACCAAAATACTTTTCCAACTTAACCTATCTTACTTCTTTGAACCTCTCCTTTAACAATCTACAAGGTCAGATACCAAGTGGAGGTATTTTTTCAAACATCACTATGCAATCTTTAATGGGAAATGCTGGACTCTGTGGTGCTCCACGTCTGGGATTTCCTGCATGTCTGGAGAAGTCCGACTCGACTAGAACAAAACACTTGCTGAAGATTGTGCTCCCTACTGTCATTGTGGCGTTTGGTGCCATTGTTGTGTTCCTATACCTAATGATTGCAAAGAAAATGAAAAATCCAGATATTACGGCTTCTTTTGGCATAGCAGATGCGATTTGCCACAGGCTAGTGTCCTACCAAGAAATCGTTCGCGCTACCGAAAATTTCAATGAGGACAACCTACTTGGAGTTGGAAGTTTTGGCAAAGTTTTCAAGGGTCGGCTGGATGACGGTTTGGTGGTTGCAATCAAAATCCTCAACATGCAGGTTGAACGAGCTATTAGGAGTTTTGATGCAGAGTGCCATGTCTTGCGGATGGCCAGACATCGCAACCTGATAAAGATACTAAATACATGTTCCAACTTGGATTTCAGAGCACTGTTTCTTCAGTTCATGCCCAATGGAAACTTGGAGTCATACTTGCACTCTGAAAGCAGGCCTTGTGTGGGATCATTCCTCAAAAGGATGGAGATTATGCTAGATGTGTCAATGGCTATGGAATATCTGCATCATGAACACCATGAGGTTGTCCTGCATTGTGATTTGAAACCTAGCAACGTGCTATTTGATGAAGAGATGACTGCACATGTAGCAGACTTTGGCATAGCAAAGATGTTGTTAGGGGATGACAATTCAGCAGTTTCAGCAAGCATGCTAGGCACAATTGGGTACATGGCACCAGGTACTTACACTAGCCAATCTAAAGCCACATACATTTTTTGTTGGAGTTGTTACAAATTCACTTCAAGATATTGGCCGGGCTTCTGACGAAGCGGAGCGGAGGCCCGTCGCCGGAGGCTTGGGCCGGAGCCAGTGGGTTGGTGTATCGTGTAGCCGCCGCAGGTAACATGCATGGCTTCCTTGTGCCAGTGTTCGAGCTGGGCTTGCTCTGTTCGGCTGACTCCCCCGAGCAAAGGACGGCGATGAGCGATGTGGTCGTGACACTGAAGAAGATTAGAAAGGACTATGTCAAATTGATGGCAACCACCCGACCCGGCAAAAAATTGATGGCAACCACAGTAAGCGTTGTGCAGCAGTGATTCATCGCTCTATCGTTGTATATGAGCGAATGAAATACATATCATTTGCATCATTTTCTTCTTCTGCATTAGGAATAGCATCAGTGATCGATTACCCTTTGTTTGTATTTGTGTATGGTTGAATTGAATATATATATATATATATATATATATATATAACAATTTCGTTGGTGTAAATATGTGATTGAACCGCTGGTCAATAAATTTGCATCACGAAAATGGGAGTAGATGATGTGCTACTTATGTTTTCTTATTTCTGGCCAAAATAAATAAATAAAAAAGGAATATTATCGGCACAGCATCACAACTCCGGCTCGTTCAGCCTTAAACAACCACAATTAACAGTCCTAAGCAGAGAAACTTAACAAGCTTTTCAGGCTAACAGAACATCAAAAGGTCCACAAGACAACAGGGTCTTCAGAGAGCACATCTTCAGGCTGTCATGCACGCAAAAAAGATCAGACAGCCAGATGAGAGCGGGTACAATAACCGGTAGCCATCTCAGTAAAACTAACGAGGCTGTAGGACAGAGAAGAAAAAAGGTAGTAGGAACGGGCGACAATAGTCGGCCAGCTCTACATGAGCTCCAAGGTGAAAAAGCCTACAAGATAGGAATTTTCAATTTTTAAAAATGGCCATGGGCCCACAAGTAGTGAGATGCATGCAATGAAAGATGCTAGTCAGTTGGGTCCCACAAGAAAAAGAAATACATCTCGGGATTAACTGCTAGCTTACTCTAGTTAATATGGACATGGATGGAGCCGGCAGCCAGCAATACTATTGAACCTGCTTAAGAGCAAGTGCAATAGTAGGCTATATACCAGCTATAAACATACTTTAAAGAGATAAAGGAAGAGAGAGAGGAATAGCAGATTACAGCACGGATTACAAGACGTAATATGTGTATAACATGTGAGACCAGATATTAATAGTATAGTAAGCAACTATTGTATGAACTAGGAAGGAAGCCCGCGCAGATGCGCAGGCATCTAATTTATTGTTTTATGATTTATGAAATAATGCTAAAAGATGTCATGTCTCATCTTTTTTATGCTGTGAGATAAACTGACTTTAATATACTTAGTAAATGATAAGAATGTCTCCAAGATTAAAAGAAAATCAGTCTGTTCCGATTACTTATAAATTCTCCTATTGTCACCACAACTTATTATTATTGTTTTAAAAGTTATGATCTATAAATAGATAAAACTGGATATGTACCAATAAAATAAGCCTAATACATCATTGATACACTAAAATATTCACTACTTATCTAAGTGTTCATGTTTCACTTATTTCCGAATCAATATATAAATATTTTAAAAATACCACTTATACCAATTAATGAAATAACACCGTTAAAGATAAACATGAATGCCCCTCTAACGGGTGAAGCCCATCGTAGCCACCAAGACTTTCTTTCTCTGTTGAGTTTTCTAAAAAAAACGAAAATAAAATTTTTGATAAATTAATCCAAAAAATTAAAACTAAATTGGATTTACTTAAAAAATAGACTAAATTGTTTTTTATCATTTTTTACATTTGTAGATTTAAATTAGTGTTGTATATTTATCAAGTGATATTAGAAATCCTAAAATATAATGTGAAACTATTTGAAAATTACCACAACATTAATTATTATATGTTGGTCCCATGTGTCATGATGTATTTAGGACCATAATATACCTTTTATAAGACATAAGTATTTCATTTAATTAAAGCATGAAACTAATCACAAATTGAATATAATTGTTGCTTACTATACTATTAATATATGGTCCCACCTGTCATACGCATATTGCGTCTTGTAGTCCGTGCTGCAGCTGGCTACAAATCTGTAGCCCGCTGCTCTTCTCTCTCATCGTTTATCTCATTAAAATATATTTGTAGCTGGCTAATAGCTTGCTATTTTACTTGCTCTAAGATAACAGTCCTACCAATTTAAATAAAAATTAATGATGAGATTAGACAAAGTCACAGGGTGGCCTACAAGAGTTGGTAGAAATGGCACATAAGATAAAATATGATATAGTAGTAAAAATATAGCTAATATAGCTCAGGAATTGGTGATTTAATTAAAAAAACCTACAGCTGCTAAAGTGTATGCGTAGATCGTCTATAAAAATAATTGTTTATTTACAACACCAGATCACTTCTATTGTAAATTCCTAGCGTTTGCGCATTCACACTCAGATTACTCTCTATGAAAAAACTGATCTAATAATTTATGATAATAAATTATGATGTACATGTATCATGTAATTTGAAAAAAGAAGAAAAAAAGGAGAATTAGGATCTGGATGGCATCAATCGAGCTCGACGAGGCAGATCAGTCTCCATGGAAATGATAACAAATTATGATGCACATGTATTGTGTAATTAGAAATAAAAGGAGAGAGGGAGAATCCAGATATGGATGGCATCAAGCTAACAGAAGCATAAGTATGTACGTACGTACTTATGGGCGGAAAATCTAATGGGCGATCAATCGCTACCGCGATCTGGTAGCGATCGCATCCCCTCCCCCCTCCCTCCTTCCACGTTTCCTTTTCTGGCACCGCATTACTTTTCTATTTTAGTAAAATTTATGCACCTAAAGTTTATACACCTAAAGTTTATAGACCCAAAGTTTAGAGACCCAAAGTTTATAAATCAAAAGTTTATATATCCGATTCAAATTTAAATTTGAATTCAAATATTTTTTATATATAGTATTTATATACATCTAAAGTTTATACACCTAAAGTTTATAGACCCAAAGTTTATAAATCAAAAGTTTATATACCCTATTCAAATTTGAATTTGAAATATATTCGATTCAAAATTTGAATTTGAATTCAAATATTTTTTATATATAGTATTTAGATACATCTAAAGTTTATACACCTAAAGTTTATAGACCCAAAGTTTAGAGACCCAAAGTTTACATACCCAATTCAAATTTGAATTTGAATTGTATCCGATTCAAATTTAAATTTGAATTCAAATATTTTTATATATAGTATTTCTATACATCTAAAGTTTATACACCTAAAGTTTATAGACCGAAAGTTTTTAGTAAAAAGTTTATATACCCGATTCAAATTTGAATTTGAATTCAAATATTAGTTTATAGATCCAAAGTTTATAAGTCAAAAATTTACATAACCGTTTCAATTCTGAATTTAAATTTAAATATTTATGGTGTAGTAGGAAGAGAAAAAGGAAAGGAGGAAGGGGGGAGAGGAGGGAGCGACTGGATAGGAGGGGCGGGTGATCGCTGGGAGCGATCACCCGCCCATCAGGCATACCCACTTATGGGTCCGGAGAGAAAGGGTGAGAAAGATTTAGTTTTGATCCAACGGTTAATATTATTGGGTCCACCACTTTAAATAAAAACTTACGGTCAGATATTTTTCTTTTTCTCAGAATATTATTTAAATTATTAGAGCGCCATGTGGCGACTTAGGAGCGTTTATATATAGGAGTCTCACGTGGTAGCTTGAGAGCGTACGTAGAAAGTTTAATGAACTTTTAGTATATAAATAATAGATAGATAGATTTAGGATTTTCTCTAATTTGCTAGAACGCCACGTGGTGGCCTAGGATCGTTATTGGTCCAAATAATATGTAATTACTTATTTATATAAATAATATGTAATTTAGAAGTATACTTATTCAATATGTATTGTTGCAGAACATAGTAAAGAGAGGAAGGGGAGGAAAAGAAACGGAGAGGAGGTACTCATACATGACGCACGGCAGGATTCCTTCTTTGTTTTTTAGAAAGTAAGAGAATAAACCAATCTAATCTAACGGCTTGGAGTAACGGGCCCACTAATTTTAATGAAAATTAATGGCTAGATGTTTTGCTTTTTTTATAGAATTTCTAGTACACGTGGCGTCGTAGGAGCGTTTGTAGGAAGTTTAATGGACTTTTAGTATATAATAGAAGATAGATAATAGATAGATAGATAGATAGATAGATAGATAGATAGATAGATAGTTACATACTACACTATTAATATCTAGCCCCACCTGTCATAGACACACTGCGTCTTGGAGTCCGTGCTACAGCTGTCTACAAATCTGTAGCCCGCTGCTCTTCTTTCTCCTGATTTATCTCCTTAAAATATGTTTGCAGCTGGCTTGTAGTCTGCTATTGTACCTGCTCTTATACAGGCAATAATCACTGCCACTAAATACAGACAACTATATTTCTTCATTTATAACTGTATACTGCTTTCTAATAATAAAAATATATTACATTGCCGACCTCTGCCTGCCACACGATTAGGCTTGCAGGCCCTACGTCATGTTATTTGTAATTGATACAGTTTTTGTATTTATCAATCCGTCTCAACAAGATTGATCGATTAGGTGGACATTAATTGATTTATTCAACGACTAATCGATCTTGCTTTGCAGCAGCATTTCACTTGCTCATTGCAGTAGGCGCCTTTCCAGTCTACCAAATTACCATAGTATTTGAGGCAGTAGGCTCCACACATTCTCACTTGGCATGCCCGGAGACCCGTATAGAAACACACATCTGTACTCTCTACAAAATAAACAACAAACTCTGTATAAAATGCCATGATTTTTTTTGTAAGTGGTACCCACAAGTTAAGCGCATCTACAATCATTAATTTCTAGTGATGCCATGCTTACAGTAGGTACTAAAGAAAAACAAATTTGTAGTAACTACCACAACTTCAAAAATCTTCGCTTATAAAATCTTCAATCTGTTTGGCACAACTCTGTATATTGGCCTTGTTCGGCACAACTCTAATTTATTTTTTTTAAGCTAGGTATTTCTAAATGTAGAAATTCTGTGCTTATGTTGGTAATATTTAAATAAATCATTTTATTTATATTTTAGAGGAAATTAAATATTTTAAACAATTGTAGTTTAACATATATACAAACTTTAAATTTGACATGGATCTAAGATTTGGAGCAATGTTTAAATTTGTAGCAAACATTGTAGAGAGGAAATTAAATCTAACCGTCCGCTTTGCAGGATGAGAGAGCGACAGCCAAGATCACAAAAGCCACCAAGCAGCCGAGGGCCATTGTGTTATTTTTCTTGGAAATGATTGCCATCACAAGATCAGGCTACAGTGTTTTGTTCTCCCGATGATTTGATAAGCTACTTCTACGACCTTCACTGTTGCCGGTGTTCATATAGGGGTACAATAACCCACCATAAATGACATATATTAATGCAAACATTATCTTACTCATATCCCTTGCATTTATGCTGAGCAATTTATTAGCTGTTTATTTTATAAGATTTGATGTTTTGGGCCGACACGTACACCTTACCGGCTGGGCTCAAATTGGTCCAAATAATTCGGCCCACGGTTAGATTGTAGGTGTGAACATTTGACATTTTTTTTTTGCGGGGAAACATTTGACATATTTATCAGAGCTGTCAGTGCTTCCGTGACTAATACTTGCTAATCGAGCTTATCAACAAATAATATAAAGTCCTGGTTCGTTCTCCTGATTTATTGTTCACTCTTAATTACTTTCTCTAGCTATGAGTGAGTTAAATTTTATAAAACATGTAATCCATAGGTTTACACTTTGATCGTTAATACATATTTGAATAGTTCGCTTCATGAAAATGGTAATAAAAGACATCTTTTAAAATATATAGATTTGAAATATTATTACGTACTTTGCTATCTTTTCTTATATATTTTCTATTAAAAGTCAATAATGAAGTCGCTACCGACTTATGGAGGAAGAGAGAAGGGGTGGAGAGTGGGAGGAGGGCCTAGTCATCTCTCGGCCAGCCAGCGAGGTCAGACGGTGGTGCACTAAGGCGGGGGACTTGATCGCGCGAAGAAAACAACTAGTTACTGTGGGGATAAGGAGTTGGGGGAAGAATAAAAGGATAAGCGGGTTGCAGGAATCTTGAAGGCATCCTCGCCGTCCAAATTTGATTGTTTTTATTTATTTATTTTTTTCATTTCTATGGAACTAAAAAGAGAAGACACAGTCCCTATCAGGTTTTATCGTACTTGAACAGGCTAGAGATCGATCAAATAAGAGTTTATTTGTGTACATGGCCAGTGCCAACTCCATGGCCAAGGCGAGTTCCACAGCAGCATTGATCAGAATCGCTGTCGCAATTGCCTCCTTCATTATGATTGGCTTGACAGAGACTCGTGGTGCAGCCTCGTAGGTATGTGCATGTATCCTTTACTCCCTCCGTTTCGAAATATTTGACACCGTTGACTTTTTAGCACATGTTTGACCGTTTGTCTTATTCAAAAACTTTTGTGAAATATGTAAAATTATATACCTACATAAAAATATATTTAACAATGAATCAAATGATAGGAAAAGAATTAATAATTACTTAAATTTTTTGAATAAGACGAACGGTCAAACATGTTTAAAAAAGTCAACGGCGTCAAATATTTCGAAACAGAGGGAGTATTTCGTATGCACCTGTGTACAGAATGGTTAGACCCATGATCAGATGCTTGATTTTGATTCATCCATTGGCCATTGCAAAACGAAGAAAATTAATTAAGCTGTTATATTCAGCATGGTGATGGAGAAATTGAAGATGTATATATATGTGTGTACCTTGGGCTGCATGAGAGGATGAGAAAGCAATAGCCATCACCATAAGAGCTGCCAAGAACACCACAGCCTTACTATTATCCTTGCCAAGAAGTGCCATGATAGGGAGATCTTTTCAGAAGGGAAGGGCGCAGCTGTATTATTGTTGTTTACCTAGCTATCCCCTTGGTTTGATAGGTGTTTATATAGCCACAAAGGCAAATCTTGGATGATACATCATTAGTTTCCTCCATTATTATGCGACGCGACATCGACATTTCTTGATCGACGTGGAGACGGAGGAGTGGGAGCAGGTCGACGACAAGAGCCTTCCGAGGGCCGGGCCATGCATCCCATCGGTGAGAAGAGAACAACCTGATATCTTCGTCTCCCACTGCATCAACAAGTCAAGTCGTCGTCGGCACAGGGCAATGTCAGCATCGATCGAGGAGCTGTCTGTTGTCCTCAAGATGCCAACGGTATAAATTCTCGGCCGGGGTCTTGGGGATATGGCACCTTCTGCAGAGATGCTTCCTCCGGTTGACAGCCAGGAAAAATCCGTCGTAAATATCTGCACACCCTTACAGCAGCACCGCACGGTTTTCTTTTACGAATTTATATTAGTATACTATATAAGTATAATATTACTACTCGATCTGATTGGTCCATTTAAACAAGCTAGTACATATAATGGAGATAAATTTTTCGGTACTACCTCGAATTCAGGTACTTAATGTAGCTGCTAGTATCTGGTAGTATCAAACTTTACACTACAAAATTTCACACCTCCCCATACTTTCTCAAAGATAATAAAATTACACTATCAGGAAACCTTGGGAGCTTTCTTTGCCACTCGATCAATAAAACACAAGCAATGCGTGATTGTTCTTCCTTGAATATATATAAGTTTTTAGATGTAGTGCAATGCGATAGACTCAATTTTATGTGTGTACAAGCAAACTGCCCGTAGACTCGTACGTTTTAACAAGATTTTAATTAATGAAAATTATGAATATGCTATTACCATTATTTCTTATTCATTATCTCCTAATCATATATATTTGTTATTGATATGTTGGCCGTTTGGCCCACATATATCCTTTCTTAATTCGTTCCAAAATGTTACTTAGCAAGTTGATGCCTTGGTGGTGGGAGTGGTGACAAATTCACCCCTCACCACTGCCACTACTTATCTCTTTTTAAGTGTAGACAGCTGGTTTCGTATTTTGGGTGGGTCGGCCATGCACGGCACTCGATTATAACAGATGGAATGTCCAGATGTGGAAGACTAGGACATGTGCAAATGGGACATCAGATGCTCCCAGGTGAGTTTCTGTCAGAGGAACCAATATATTGTGTCCATTCCTTCCACTGTCCTTACATGTTAGTCCCTGGAAATTTGAAGTCTTTGATTACGCAGGCTGTGTAGCACTAGTTCCGGCTTTAAAAACATCCTATTTAAAACATGTTTTGAATCAAATTTTAAAAACCTAAAACCCTGATACTCTTCATTCCAAATCTTTCTGCATGCCACACCCGATCCCATTCACAGATTCAAGCAAATCAAGCGAGAGAGAGAGAGAGAGAGAGAGATGCACAAATTCATACACACAACAGATTCCATTCACAGATTCAAAAAGAGAGCAACAACATCGATCAAGGCACTGCTCAAGCTGCCATTGTGGCGTTGTCGCTGTCGCCGAGCCACCGAGGCACCCCTCCCTAGTTCCAAGCACCGCCACCAGATCTGGATCTAGAGTGGTGGGCCAGCACCACCACCACCTTAGGGCTTTCTCTCCTCTGCCGTCACCAGCCCTACCATTTGCCACCATTGGTAGATCTAAGAGCATATCCAACAGACTCTCCAGGCTAAAATTTAGCCAATTTGACAAAAAAAAAAGCTCTCCAACAGCCTTGCCAACCGAATGGCCAAACTAGGGCATCCTGCCTGGCTGACCAAACCAGGTTGCCAACCATGGGTCCCACGCTGCTAGACACCCCTCTTCCCCTTTATCTCTTCGCACCTATCCTAAACCCAAACAGAGGAGTGCCACCACTATCTTTGTCGTCAAGGTCGCCATCGCCATTCGCCGCTGCTGCCAAGGTAGTCATTGCCGGATGCCGCTGTCATCGTCTGCGCCGTCACTAGCTGCCACCGCCGTCGCCATCTGCTACTGTGCCGAGGTCGCCATCTGCTACTATGCCGAATTCGATGGGGTGCGCGACGCCCGCCCTGTGGATTTGGCCATGTGTTCGGCACCGTCTCCTCGTGTTTGTCTCCGTTCCCCCTGCTCTGCGTCCGTTGTCTTCCCTGTCAATACCGTCCCTAGCGCCACCGGCTGCCGTTAGTAGGATCGAATCACAAGAACTAAGCCAACCAGAGGGAGGGTGAATGGTTGGTATACCCAAAAACCGAAAACTTTTAGCGGAAATAAAAGTTACCCTCGAAATCGATGGAAACCGGTCTGACCGAGATTGATCTGTCAGTCTGACCGAGTGGATGCCGCCGGTCTGACATGTGTTGAATCTCCGGTCTAACCGCCGAAGTCGCCTGCCGCGCCTGTTGCCGCCGCCGGTCTGACCGCCGCAATGCCGTCGGTCTGACCGCCGGTGAGTTGCCGGTTAGACCGCCGAAACCCGGTGAAACACAAATCGAAGAACTCTTAAAGTGAATGACGACTTTATTACTTCTCTCTGTGTTTACAAAGTGCACCAACAACACTCCTTACAAAAATTTCGACTAAACTCGAAACCCTAACTCAAAAAACTCAACTCAATTGCTCTCTAAAGCGATACCGGGAAGCCTCATGCTCCCCCTCTATTTATACCCGAGGTAGGCAGCCTAAAGCCACGAACCAAACTCATATTAGGAGTCCTAAACACCTTAGGAAACCCTCTAGTACAAGAAAGAAACTTTACATCACCAATCGTACCAAATTTGGACTCTTTCCAAATTCGACTCCGCATCCCATACGCACACAATAACTCCATCGTATGCCATATGGAAACTCCATCAATCCACGTGCATCAACTCTAGCCATAGTATCTCGCATGATCTCTGACCACCACGAATGTCATCTTATCCCCAAGCCGACTCCCGGTCCATCACCGCAAATACTCTCCCAGACATCGAGTCACCTACACATGGAACAAACAAAGAAACCATATTCCGAGACCAAGCTATCTCCAACTTGACTCATTAGCAGCAAACAATAGTATTACATATGTATAGTATCCATCTAGAAGTCATAATCATGAAATAAACTCGGATATCCAAACAAACAACCCGAAACCGAAACCGACACAGTGTCGGCCGGTCAGACCGCGGGCTGGCCGGTCCGACCGCTCGATCACTGCCGGTCTGACCGGCATGCACAGCCCGGTCTGACCGGTCACATAAAATAATGAATCCTGCGATCACCTATGAAACCAATCATCTCCAAAACCACTTCGTGAATAAATTCCAAATAACAAAACCAATAATCTCCAATGCCCAATTGTACATCACAGAATAATAATCAAAAACACCTTTGATTTTACAATCTCCCCCTTGATGAACACATTGGCAAACCCTTTAAAAATGTTTTGGTGTTTGGAAAAATAAAAACAAAAGTGGTAAAAAGCACACTTCGTACAAATGTACACATCGTGCTCAAAAATTCAAAAGAAAACTTCTCCCCCTTTTTAAAAGAAAGAAATTCCCAATTGAACCAAAAACATGCTCTTCTCAACAACTCTCCAAAAATTCATCTTGCTTCTCCAAAATATCCAAAAAAGTTCACATTACTTCCCCTTTTGACAATGATTTCATCAAGCGCTTAATATTCAAGAGCTTAGCATACATATAGCATACCAAGTCATGTGTTGCAATAAAAAGAAGATGAACCCATCTATAACAGAACAAGCATGCATTAGAGTATAACCATGAACCAAAGATTTTACAATTAAGCTTGAATCAACAATCAAAATTCATGATTTCATACGATTTATAATGCAACATCTTAACAAGCACATAGGTTGAAGAATAAACACTAAACACATATACCTATGGCATTTATCACTCTTTCTCAAATAAACCTTTAGCCCAAAATAACCAAGAAAATTTTTTTAACTTTTTCTTTTCTTGAGCCTTTTTGCTCATAATTTTTCTCTTTTATTCCGAGTACGTCCCTGTCGTCAAGACTGTTTCCAGGGATTCGGCACCCATTATTTTGCTCACATCGAATACGTCCTTGTCTTCAAGACTGTTTCCAAGGATTCGGTATTCATTTTTTTCATATTTTTATTCTCTTTTTCACAATGAGCAATTAAAGCTATTTGAGGAATAACATGTCAATAAAGCATATATATAGGGCATTTAAAAATCAAACCATATGCTAGCATCAACATTGCATATTTGCTTAATTCAAGTAGAATTTAAGTGTCATGCATCATCTCCCTTAAAAGCAAAATCTAAATCTCATGAAAAGACTAGAATACATACAAGCTATGCTAGAGACAAATAAACCTTCAAAGTATTGCGAGCATGCACAAGAAAATACCATATGCATAAACAAAACTCTCTTTTCTCAATTTTTCTCATTGTCATATTGTTGCTTGATAAAACCATGAGGTACAAACTCCCCCTCAAACCATGCCAAAAGGATGAATTATGCCCAATTCACCACGAAGAAAAGCAAAGCGATTAGAATCCAAAGGTTTAGTGAAAATATCAGCAATTTGCAAATTTGTGTCCAAAAACTGCAATTCAACATCTCCCTTCTCAACATGATCCCTCAAAAAGTGAAAACGAATATCAATGTGCTTTGTGCGTGAGTGTTGTACAGGATTCTTAGCAATATTGATAGCACTAGTATTATCACAAAAGAGATGTACTTTCTCAAAAGTAAGACCATAATCTTTCAAAGTAGATAAAAGCCAAAGAATCTGTGAACAACAACTAGCAGCAGCAACATATTCAGATTCAGCAGTTGATTGAGCAACACTAGATTGTTTCCTAGAAGACCATGCAATCAATGATGTACCAAGAAAATGACATGTTCCACTAGTACTTTTCCTATCAATTCTACAACCACCAAAATCAGCATCGGAATATCCACTCAAGCATATAGAAGATGAAGTAGAATACCAAATTCCAAACTCAAGTGTATGATTCAAATACCTCATTATTCGCTTGACCGCTTGACGATGTGAAGCACGAGGAGAAGCTTGAAAGCGTGCACGCAAACACACAGCAAACTGTATGTCTGGCCTAGAAGCAGTTAGATACAACAAAGATCCAATCATACTTCTATATTCCTTTTGATCAACAGCTTTACCATCTTCATCAGGATCCAACACAGCTGTAGAACCAATTGGTGTTGAAATTGGCTTGCAATTCTCCATCTTGAACCGTCTCAAAAGATCCTTGGT